ACCATAGAGTTGAGGGTCCATTTCTGGGCCCTCTATTCTGTTCCATTGATCTGTGTGTCTGTTTTTGTGCCAGTACCATACTGTCTTGATGGTTATAGCTTTGTAGTAGAGTTTGAAGAAGGACACTTCATTTCAATTAAATCTTACATTTTTCTTTACTCCCCATCCTACCTGACCCCCTCCTTTATTTGATAATTCTCTTCTCATTTTGTGTCTGTGAACTGGTACTTCGCTGTTTTTCTACCTAGTTGGCTCCTTCTCTGTTATTTTCGTTGACCACATCTCATGACGCCTGTGCCCAGCTTTCCGCTGCTCACCCTCCTTCCTAGAGGAGATGCGGGTCCCTGTGTGCAGGGACCTCTCGGGAGCCTATGTGTGGCACCCCGGCAGGCCTGGATCTGGTAATAGCCCATGGGATACTTTGACATGTCCACAAGTAAAGTTCTCCATTCCTTCAAAAGATGCCCCTTTCCTAGCTGCCCTATTTTTGAAGTCATAAAATAGGTCCTCACTGTTCTTTTTTCTTCTGTTGTCCCATGTACACCTTCAACAGCATTTCTCTCAATCTGTGATGATCTGCCCATGCGTTTTGTTTAGGGACTGTTTCTGATGCTCCCCTACACGTTCTAAGATGTTCTTGGCCAAGTCATGTTGTTCATCACTATATCCAGTTCCCAGCCTTGTGCTTTTCACGTGATGGGCAGACAGTGAATTTTAATTTGGATAAGTGCACGAATAAAAAATGCACAGTCTTCCATTTTTATGTTTGTCCCCCTGGGCCAAAATCTTGATGCCGTCCTGGATTTTTCTCTCTTTTCCATATTCTAGATCTGTCAGTTTACTAAGTCCTTCTAAAACATAAGCTCCATGAGGACAAGCCTCTTTGTCTGTCTTACTCAGTGATATATCACAAGTGCCTAGAATGGTACCTACCGCGTAGTTGAGCATTTATTATGTTGTAAAAATGGTTGTAAATGTTTTACAAGTATTTATTTCATCTTCATGACACCCAGGAAGGGTGGGTAGGTTCTAATGAGTATGTGCCTTTCACAAGAAACTGAGTCATGGAGGTGCTAAGTTATTGCACAGCTACTGAGTGGTAGAGTCAGAACTTGAACCCAAGGCTCCTGGGTCCATCCTCTTAACTAATCAGCACCCTGTTATAATGCCACCAAACGACTCTGTGTTTCCTTTGTGCTTGACACTCCACCTAGACGTGCTTTCCGCACTGTGTAGGTCTTGCTGCAGGCGAAGAAGTAGAGGCTGACTTGAGAGGTTTTAAAGAAATGACGTAGGTTGGGACCTAGTTTGTGAGTGGCAGGGACAGGATGGGAACTCGGACGTTTAGCCAAGCCTGGCCCTTAGCCTGTGTTCTGTACTGCCTGACCCGCCAGTCTCTGCATGGCCTGTGGTTTTGGGAGACGACTCAGATTCCATGTGAACGTTCCCTGGGGTCGTCAGGTTGGTCTTGTCCCTCCTGGCAGACGTGTGATGCAGCCGCGTGTATTTCTTTCTGTAGACAATGGTGGCAGCCGCACGTTGCAGTCCAGAACAGAGACGACCCCGGCGCCCACCAACAGTGTGGGCAACGGACACCCAGAATATATCGCATACGCGCTGGTCCCCGTGTTCTTCATCATGGGTCTGTTTGGCGTCCTCATCTGCCACCTGCTTAAGAAGAAGGGCTATCGTTGTACCACAGAAGCCGAGCAAGAGGTGGAAGAGGAAAAGGTTGAAAAGATAGGTAAATACCTGCATCCTTTTCATGGAGAGGTGGGTGGGGACGATTTTCTTTTTTTTTAAAGATTTTATTTCCAAGTAATCGCTACACCCAATGTGGGGCTTGAACTCACAACCCGGAGATGGAGAGTCACGTGTTCTACTGACAGAGCCTGCCAGGTGCCCCAAGTGAGGGCAATTTTTAAATGAGGAATCAGTCATAGATACTTTATCTCTACGAAGCAAAATGATCCATCTTTTTTTTTTTGGGGGGGGGGGTAAAGGGGCAGAGGGAGAGAGAGAATCTTAATCAGGCTCCACACCCAGCATGGAGGCTTTTGAGGGGCTCCATCTCACGACCTGAGCCGAAATCAGATGCTTAGCCGACTGAGCCACCCAGGTGCCCCCAAAATGATCCATTTTAACAGTAGGTGGTATGGTGGCATGTCAGTATAGATTTCGTAGTAACCACACCTGGAGCTTGAATCCTGGCTTTCACTTATTAAACACCTACCAGCTCATTCCTTGTGGCTTTGGGCAAGTTACATATGCTCCAAACTTCTGCTCTGTGTAATTTAACTGGAATTTAAATCTTAGTTAATTTAATGCCAATTTAATTAAGATTTTAATTTAACTTAAATGAGGACAGTAATCTCCATCTTGTAGGATTATTGTGGAATTCAGAAGATGCATTTGGTGTTTGGCACATATGGCCACTCAGTAAATACTAATCCTTACTATTATTATTGAGAGAGCTTCTAATAAGAACAATGGGGAATTTAAATAGCTCTCACCACTTTTGTGGTATTACTTTTGCTGGGGGAGTTCTATATTCAATCTATGTGATTGGAACTTATATTTATTAAGTAAATAATTATGTCAACAGCGCAGTAAAAGTATGGTAAGAAATGGTGCCTTAGTATTAATTTGAGAGTGTCTTATCTTTTCCTCTTAACATCGAGTTGTTAGGTAGTATTTGGAAAAACCCAAGAAATAAAATCCTGTTTTCTCCATAGATGTTCTTTCCAACCATCCTTTAGGGACGTTTCCTGACTTGGATTTGGGGGAGTAGTAGCTAACCTTCCATATCCCTTTCAGGTCCTCAAAGGGCAGTTTTTGCAGAAGAGGACATTTGGAGTTGGTCACCTTTCAAGAGAGCCAACGGGTAGAGTGGGGAGAGCTTCTTCCTTCCTTGCCAGCCGGCTGGCCTGTTGGTTTTTCCCACCCCCACTGACCTTTGAGGCAGAGAGAACCCGGCTGCAGGATGAGTCATGGGTAGCTTATGAGCAAACCAAAGCTGAGTGTTTGTCAACAGAAAGTGAGCCTCCCCCCTCCCGTCCTTCACAGACGCTCTGTAGGCTGGCTTAGTCAGAATTTGCACTGTCCGGCCAAATGCGCATTTTCATGGAGGAGGAAGCCGACTGGGGTTGGAGAAGACACTTTTCCAGGGACACGAGTAAGACATTGCACACCTTGGTTCATTCTCTGTGAACTGGGATCCCTCCCTTTTCCTTCCTCCCTGAAATTACAGTTTCTGGGTGGAGGTTTGATTTTTCTTCAAAGACTGTCCCATAATACAGTTCCCTAAGGTCAACAGAGTGTGTGGGCAAATAACCACAGCCAAAATTTAGGTCATTTGGAAGTGTATTTAAATGAAAGGAGAGTCTTCTAAACATGGATGAATAATTACCCCATGTAAAAAAGAAACGCATACTCTAAATTTATATAGTATGTCTGCAATTAAAACAAAATCCAAGGAGAATTTTATCTTTTGATGAACTGTTTTCTGCCCATTTCCCCAAAGGGTTTAAGGAAATAATGAGAGAGAACTGCAGCAGTAAGGCCCGATACACACGCAGGAAAGTGAGTGGGTGTTTGGACTTGAAGAGGTTGATGGCTACTTCTGGTGCTCGTTATGTCTGTCGTGCCAAGGAAGTCACTCTGGGCTGTGCATCAGGCAGTTTGGGGCTGAAGGAAGAAAAGCCTTGAGCCCTCGACCCTTGGCACCACAGCTGAGCTTTCTGGAGACTGTTGAGTGAGGTCTCATTGCCTCGACAGAGGTGACTGATTCTAACCCGTTCTCCTCTCCCCCTTCTCTTTCAGAGTTGAATGACAGTGTAAATGAAAATAGTGACACCGTTGGGCAGATTGTCCACTACATCATGAAAAATGAAGGTATGGATGTTTTAGTGTTCCAGAACAATTCAATATTCATGTTTTATTAAAAACCTGCCCTGAAGAGTCAGTTTATATGAACTGTCCTGTTGATCTTTCTAGTCATTGGCAGCACCTTTTACCTAAGCTCATGAATACGTCAGCTTCCAGATTATCCCACCATGAGAATTTCACCTAAGTGTGTTTTCGAAGAGTCAGTGGGTGTGAGTGTTTGCAGAAAGCCAGCCCTGGAGGCTCACCTTCAAATCCTGGCCTCACCTTGATTTGGGGAAAGTCATTTTACCTCATGGAGTCTCCGTTTCCTCCTCTGTAAAAGGAGGGTAATAAATAATATTTACCTCGTTGCATTGTTGTGACATCCTGCACATAAAGTGCTTAGTACAATAGGCACTCGAATGTTGTGTATTCCTTTTTTTGTACTTTTAAAAAAATCATGGTAGAATACACCAAGCCTAAAAAAGTTACCGTTAAATGTACAGTTCAGCAACATTAAGTACCTTTGCAATGATGTACAGCCATCAGCACGGCCTAGTTCCAGAACGTTTTCATCGTGCCAAACTGAAACTCCGTACCCATGACTCAGTCGCCCTCTCCACCGTCCTCCCCCAGCCATCCTCTGGCAACCTGCTCTCTTTCTGTCTCTATGGATTTGCCTGTTCTGTGATCTATTCTGAAGTGTTCAGACTTTTAAAAAGTTTAACCTTTGTGGACAGAAGCATCTTTTCCCTCTGAAATGTACTCTACACTCCTGTCTTCTGAAACGGGGGATGAACTGAATCTTGATTAGATAAATGAGGGTCCTCGTTCTGCACACTGGCTATTAGCCGTGTAGGCTACCGTTACAGAGGTGCACAGGGTGAGGCCCTCAGTAACTTTTGGAGTGTGCAGAACTCCTTGCCTACATCCCCAGTAGCTGCAGATCGCCATACTTTGAGTTCTCCTGAGAATCAAAAGAAACATTTTCCTTGAGCTCTGGCTTGGCCCTTGTCAAAGCTGAGGGCTACCGGGTGCACTGACGTGGCTGAGCCATTTGTCCAAAACGTGAAATACCTCTGTAGTGCTCAGTAAATACCTGTTCTGCCCCCAGCCCTTCCTTGGGGGACCCCACCCCGATACCCTCACTGTCAGTGAGAGCACCTGCCTGGCCCAGGCTGTGGGGCAGTGTTTTTGACTTAGAGAAACATCAATTTCAAATGGTTCAGCAGAATTTTCCTTGTTCTTTACAGTGTGCTTTATTTGTTAATAATAACTCATTTATTAAATGAGTCATCTCATTTAATCCTCAACATATCCCGCTCAAGTTTGTATTGTTATACCCATTTTCCAGGTGCAGAAATGAAGGCTCCAAGTAGTTGAGTTCACATGGTTAGTGAACAGTCTAGCTCTCTCTGGGTCTCTTTCAACTACACAACATGACCTCTCCTCTCATAATTGGTGGGTTTCAGTTTCTGCCAGATGTAAAATCAGATCATCAACTTTAATAGAAGGGTATTTAAAATAAGAACAAAAATGACCAGAACACTTGGCTTTGGATCTCTGTCTTCCAGAGACCTTCCTTCAGGGAACGATATTTGGTGATGCTCTTCTTCAATACTCAATGGTGTGCATTTCTTCTACATAAAAAATGATTTTTAATTTGCACAAGCAATACACGAATATGTTCTCGGCATGGAAACGCCAGCCATTGCAGAGGTACATGAGTGAGGCATGGAGTGCCTTGTGCATCGGACACTGCCTCACATGGCTTTGGGGATCTTGGGCCTTTGGGACCCGAGCTTCTAAGAGCAGGAGTAGCTGCTAAATTAGTGAGTGTGGGATGGAGGTGGGTTGCTGACTGTTGAATCAGAAATAAGTAAACCCTGGAAGCGTTGCAGGGATTGAAGTTGTTTTTTTTTTTTTTTCTTTTTTATCCAAGGATTTTATTTATTTGGGGGAGAGAGAGAGAGAGAGCGAGCGCACACGAGTTGGGGGGGAGTTGGGGAGGGGCAGAGGGAGAAGCAGACTCCCCGCTGAGCAGGGAGCCCGATGCGGGGCTCGATCCCAGGACCTGGGGGTCATAACCTGAGCTGAAGGCAGCCGCTTAACCAACTGAGCCACCCAGGCGCCCCTGTCCTTTTCTATTTTATTATCTATTTTAATGCTGTCCTTTTACTTTTGGGAAGTAGCCTCTTTGTTTCCTCTGCATTGATGACGGGTAGGTCCACTGGATAACACCTAAAGCACTGTTTTCCTTCTCCCTCCTCTGATCCCCAGTTCTGTCCCCTCTCTTCCCCTGTCCATGCTTTTACTTGTCTACCTGTGATTTGTCCAGGGGCCTGTGAGGATGGGGGGTGGCTCTGATCCTTTGTGTGGCCCTTGGCTCTCCTCGGCCCCCAGGAGACATCTGTCCTCACCGGAACCCTTTTCCAGACGTGGCTGGTGTCCAAACCACAGCTGGGGAATTAGATCCCGACGTGGGTCTCTTCCCAGTTTATAAGCTAGCTTTTTAGTTTGCCTTGAGGCTTCGGTCCTCTATAGAACAAATGCGTTTTTAATCTTTTGTCTACGTCATTATCAGTCTCTGAACTTAGTATCAATTTAGATCTGTTGATGTTAATTTAATTTTCCATTTTTTTAATTTTAAGCACACCCTAACTTTTCTTTTAAAATTGAAAAAAAAAAAAATACGAAGTACAGCCCATCCATTACCATTTGCCATGTTTATTTAGGTTTTCTTTGCCTGTATTTACATATTTAAAAGCATCTGGAATCATGATTTATGAATAGTCTTCTGCTTTGCATTTTTAATTTGGCTAATGGGGTAATATTTCACCTGTACTCATGGTGACATTGTTTATGGCTTAAATATATCATGTCTCAAATGTTGCAAATCAGGTTAGTTTATATGAATCTCTTGAGGGATAAATTTATCAGCTGACCCACATACTGATTACTTTCTTGCTAATCTCAAGGCTTGGATTAATCACAGTGCTACCCTTAATTTTTCTTTCTAAGTAGATTGAATTGAAAAGTGTGTGGGTGGTTATCAGGGTTTTCTTGAGTTCTGTGGGCATTTGGAAAGTACCTGCAAGTCCATAGCTCAGCCTCTCTGCCAGGCCCTTAAACTGTCCCATCTGGTAACAATGCAGAGTACTGTGATTATTCTCGAAGTACCCCTGACTATTCACACCAGGCAGAGGGATCCTTTTGTGAGATTCTTACCTTGGGGTTCAATATATGTTATGGCAAGGATTCCCTTACAAGTTATCATTGCTGAGTATGTCTCTGAAACTTGCTATAATGATTATGCAAATGTCCTCGAAATATTTTAAACTATTAATCATTTGGGTAGAGACTTGGACATTGAAGAAGTAAGAACATCAGGGTCAAAAGCATCCACCCTAGAGTCAGATGGGCCAGGGTTTGTGTCCAGGTCTCTCATGCTGGCTATGTGACTCTGGCCAGTCAGTTACGATCTTTAGGGCCTCAGTCTCTATATGTATAAAATGGGCATGATGACTCTGTCTACTCTTGGAGTTGTCAGGAGAGTCAAACATGATAAGGTCTGTAAAGCTTTTGGCCAGTGGCTAGCACACAGCGGCACTAATTTTGGGGGTGGCCATAGTTCCTGCCTGGGAGATTTGCCTTGATAGCAAGGGAATCTTTTTGTTTTTTTTTTTAATAATTTTATTTTTAAAATTTATTTGAGAGAGAGTGCGTACAAGCGGGGGAGGGGCAGAGGGTGAGAGAGATAAGCAGGCTCCCTTCTGAGGGGGAAGCCGGGACTCTGGACTCCATCCCAGGACCCCGAGATCATGACCGGAGCTGAAATCAAGAGTCAGACACTTAATGGACTGAGCCACCTAAGCGCCTCACAAAGGAATCTTTGAAGAGAAGCGTGGTGGGAGAGAAAGCAGGGCATTCTTCTTGCTTGATTTTGACGGTTTTATACCTAGAATCAGGCAGAAATTCAGGACAGAAGAGAGGAAGCATTTTATGAAATTATTACCCTCTAGAAAATTTCTCCTCTTCTTGACAGGTTTTCCTTGCCCTGTAACTGACTCCTCCCATTCTCTGGAAACCCAGGATGGGAAGTCTAGTTGACAGAGTGTTGACAAGTGCAGGGGAACACCATCTTTTATTGCTTATTGTAATTATGAGTAATAAGGAGGAGATACGTATTCAATAGAACTTAATCAGACGACTGCTCTTTCGTAGTAATTTTACAACCAAATTAAAGCATGTGTTTAAGTCCACATGGTGGGGTTACGTTAGAAAGTTTTCTTAACCCAGGAAACCACATGACTCCACATACTGAACCTGCTCAGACAGGGTGTGAATGTTGTTTACATAGAAACTTGAGCCCACTCTTAAAGAATTCACTCATAGCAAATATGTTTAAATTTTCTAAGAGATAGGGTGAGGTCCAGGAATACATGAATATAGAAGAAACAACACAAATCTATTAAACTGTTTTAGGGATGATTTTAATATATTTTAATCATCTTCCTTGATCATTTTCTGATCCCATGTTTCTAAGGGAGGTCATCATTTTATAGGTGATTAATTTTCTCTGGCAACTATTTAAGCTTTCGTTTTTAAAAAGCACATTCTTATAAGTGAGTGCTATTGGCGCTATCTTTATTTTCATACCTTTTGTTGTTGTTTTCCCTTTTTAATGTCTGTAGTCTTGAAGTTTAGTAAATGATGGCAGAGAATAAGTGTCAACTGGTAAATTATTTTGTGTCTTCCCCAAACCTTTTGTCTAAACAAAAGTTTATTTTCTGAGTCCTTATTATTAATTAAAAGGGAAATTGACTGACATCACTAGATTATATTTAAGTTTGTCTTGTAGAGGGTAGCATGCCTTTGTTGTATGGGAGAAGATACTGCCAATCGATTTCAGTACTTTTTCAGTAATCACAGGGGTCTTATTTAGGTCAAAACTTGTGTTAGGGAATGCGTTGGGACTTCATCACAGGTAGTCGTGAAGAGGGCAAAAAGAATATTTCTTTTAGAAAAGATGATATGCTGTGTTAATATTTCTTTTAAAAAAAAACCTATGCATTTGCAAGGGTTGTGAAGGGGGGAAATGGATCATGGGGGCAAAAAAACCCTTATTATTTTGTATATAAAACACAGATGTACGTATAGTACATAAACAGATATCTATCTGCATTATTATAATTTCGCAAGAGGGTGATTAGGAAAAAGATGTTGCAAAAGGCTCCTGGGTGGGGCAATAATTATTTAAATTAAAAAACTTAAATTTTGGGGCACCTGGGTGGCTCAGTCAGTTAAGCATCTGCCTTTGGCTCAGGTCACGATCTCGGGCCTGGGATCAAGCCGGCATCGGGCTCCCTGCTGAGCAGGGAGTCTGCTTCTCCCTCTCTCTCTCAAAAAAAAAAAAAAAAATAAATAAAATCTTTAAAAAAATAAGCCTTAAATTTAATTTTTGAAAGGTTGAGAAGCACCATATAAACCCGTAACTGTTAATAACCTGAAAGCAGTAGTGTTAAAACTAGAGTTAATTTTCCTCCTCTAGGGATGTTTGAGCTGTTAAATGTGAAATGTTGCTGTTGGCTTACATGAAATAGTGATTTTTTATTCTTCCATCTCTGGAGAATTTGTGGTTCTTCATGAGAACAGCACTTTAAAAAAATCAGTGAAAAGGTTAGGAGTCAGTAATAACATTTGGCCTTGCCGATTAAATATCCAAGAGAAACTTGAACACTCACTCAGTCTTTCATCTTTGAGAGTTTGGCCACTCTGTAAGAGGCAGAAAGAACATGTGTGTCTTTGGGGGCAGAGAGGGGAGTGGGGACCCAAGAAGCTTAGGTTCAGTTTGCTTTGGTTGACAGCCTACCCCCAACCTAAAAATTTGGATTTTTTTTTAAATTAACATTAGAATTCTAATTTAATTCAGTCCATATTAGGTAACCTCTATGTGTGACCAACTCTTGGAAACTTAAGGTAACTGGCCAGAGTTAAGGTCTTGTACGGTCCTGAAGCTGAGCTAAGCCAAATGGCCCACCTGGAAAGTGAACGCTCTCACATCCCTGATTGTATGTGGGATAGACTTGACAATATGTGGGTATCCAGAGGTTAAGGCTAATCGTTTGGGCACGTGCAAGTTATTAGAATACAGGTCTCTTAAGACCTACGTCTCACTATTTATTTAGCCAAGTGAGGTGAATGCAGGGGAATAGCAGCATGTAAGTCTCCTTTTCATTTGGGAGGGGTAAGAAAAGTAGTTTTCTATGTTCTATTGGAATGATGTGTAGGTAGCTGGGCTCTATGGTAGATCCACTGTCCTTTGTGTAGATTCTCTGTCACTCATACTGAATTCCTGCCTGGTGAAAGTTATCTGCAGATGGTGCCATTTTGAGGGGTTACCTTGGGAAACACCCTCCCTTCTCCGGGACCCCAGGACCCTCTGAACTGAAGGACCTCAGATCTTTTTCCAACAGCTTTTCTTCTCTTTATTTTCCTTCCAACAGCTTTTCTGTTGTGATAATTCTGTGATTGCTCATGTGATTCATTCCATTTTAATTCTTTACTTTCTTTTTTTTCCTTAGCAAACGTTGATGTTTTAAAGGCAATGGTAGCAGATAACAGCCTGGGGGACCCTGAAAGGTGAGCACGACTCCCCCCATTTAGTGGCACTTTTTTTTTTTTTTCTTTTTCCCTGAGGTTATCTGCTGGAGCAGGTTTCCCAGCTTTGGCATGGTTGACATTTGGGCCAGGTAATTTTTTGCTGTGGGCAACTGTCCTGTACATTGTGGGATATTTATCAGTGTTCCTGGGCTCTGCTCACTAATGCTGGTGTCCTCTTTCCCCAATCTGTGTGACAACCCAGAATGTTCCCACACATTGTCAGTGTCCCCTGGGGCGAATTCAGCCCTGGCTGAGGATTGTGGTTTTGGAGTAGGATAAAAAAGTAACAGCCTGGGAGTTGGGCACCTGGGTGGAGTCTCACCTCTGCCACGTATGGACCACCTCTTTGTGGGCAAGTTAACTCACCCCTCTGAGCTCAAGTTCCATCATTTATAAATGGAGATAACCATGTACCCACTTCCTTGGGTTATTATAAGGAAGACAAAGGGCCTGGGGCATTGAAAGACCTCCATGAATAATGACGATGAAGCAAAAATTAGGCTGGTTGAGTTGATGACATTATAGTATTTCTCTAGAGTTTTTTATTTCTTCAGCAAGGAACATTTATTGAATGCCTGCTCAGTGCTGGGCACAGTGCTGGAGGTGGGCTTTCACAGATGCTTGGCCCAGAGGGCTCAGTCTAGTGGGGAATGGAGCCTTAGGCATGAGGCCTTGTGATGGGGAGCACAGCCATGCTGTGGGAGGAGCAAACACTGGATGCTCTGGGGGCTCCATGGGGCCAGAGGGAAGTCAGCGAAGGTTCGCAGAAGTGCCGTCTGAGCTGGACACGTGACAGCCGAGACTGCTTGGAGGCAGAGCAGGCCTAGGAAACACTGGAGCGAAAGTGTGGGGCATACCCGAGAGAGTTTGGCGTGGGGCAGCTAGAGAATGTGCGGTGGACAGTAGCAAGAAGGGCCAAGAAGGCAAATTGTTCAAGGAACAGGGCAAGGAGTTTGGACCTTTTCCTGTTTACTCTGTGGGTGGAGTACACGGCACATCTTAGATAATCTATAGTGTGTTTGTCAAACTGGCGTGTGAGATCTGCCCTTTGTCGAGGTCACTCAGAGGGCAGGCAGGTCAACCTAGGAAGCTCTGGTTGTGGTGTGGTTCAGAGAGACTTGCGAGCTGGGATTTCTCCCACGTTCCCAGCCCTGACCACAGACACCTCCCTGGTGTTTGGACCATGTTGTCTCCTGGTGTGTTGGCCTCAGTTATTGTGAGGCAGTGAACAGTGCCTGTCATTGGGTTTTATGGACTTGAGAAACGTTTGTCGAATGAATGTTGTTAAACTTGTGAATTCAACTTCCTATGATGTGGTGTTAATTTCACTTTTTTTTTTGGTCTCAGAAAGCCTCTGCTGTGTGTTTTTATTTTAACGATCTAAATCAACCATGCACAGTTCTTTTTAAAAGTGCAAGTGGGCCGGTTTCCGGGAGCAGAAAGGCTGGTTGATGCTGTCATAAGACTTCCATGTGCCTCTGGGGCTGTTGGCCCGGGCTCAGGGCTCAGGGCTCAGGCTCCGCGGTGACATGCTGCCCTACCTCCACCCACCTGTACCACGTCAGAGGGCTGATTCCTGGTCAGGCCAGCCCTGTCCTGTTGTAAGGCCTCCTTTTCTAGGGGACCGGAGTCTTGGTATGCCTTTTGAAGGTGGCCAACATCTGACCTATATATGTCTGCTTTTTATATGTTGGATGGTTTGGCTAGATTTTTTCCCAGGCTATCAAAGAATGCAGTCTCTCTTGTTTTCTGAGGCACTATAGCACGGTGGTTAAGATCATGGTTTCTAGAATTAGGCTTTCCAGATTTGGATCTCAGATCCATCACTTATTAGCTGTGTGACCTTGGGCAAGTTACATTAACTTCTCATTTTTAAAATGAGGAAATTCATAATACCAACTTCATAGGGTTTTGAAAAGATTAACGGAATTAACACATATCAAATGCTTAGAATACGAAGTGTTAGCTATTTTTGTTACTGTTACCAACACCATCAACATCTCTTCAGCATCGATTTTGGGATCTTGATCTAAAAACTTTCTTCCTTTGATGCAATAGTCAGTCTGGATCAAATCTTCTATTTTAAGTCATTTGATCATCTGAGTTCTTCAGGGCACATATGTTCAGGGGATCTCTTTGTTTAGAGACCTAGGTAGACGCTGGGCTGTGATTTAAAGCTGCTGCTTGCCTTGCAGGGGAGAGCTTGCCTCAGTTAGTACTTTTTGTAAGTAACCAGTTCTACCATTTCTTCCCCCCGCCCGCCCTTAGCCCGGTGACCCCCAGCACTCCCGGGAGCCCGCCTGTGAGCCCGGGGCCCTTGTCACCAGGAGGCACCCCGGGGAAGCACATCTGTGGCCACCATCTCCACACAGTGGGCGGTGCTGTTGAGAGGGATGTGTGTCATCGGTGTCGGCACAAACGGTGGCACTTCATCAGACCCACCAACAAGTCCAAGCAGGGCCATCCGAGGCGTCAAGGAGAGGTCACTGTCCTCTCTGTTGGCAGGTAAGATCCCTGTGGATGCTTTGGGTTTGTGTGACATGTTTGCTGTGCTGTGTGGATTTGTGTGTCCCTGATAAATATAGAGTATGATGTCCTGAGCCTGGCTCGGGTTAATCTCTGGGCTTTTTAGATGTCTTCTGCTCTGGGTCCTACATTTTTCCACCTCCTAAGAGGTGGCTATGCTAGATCAGAGTTCAGGTGTATTAATTAAGGTAAAAAAAAATCAATTACTTGCTGTATTAGGGTTCTCCGGAGAAACACAGCTTATAGGATACACACACACACACACACACACACACACATGATTTATTATAGGAATTGACTTGCGTGATTATGGAGGCCAAGAGGTCCCGCAAACTGCCCTCTGCAAGCCGGAGACCAGGAACACCGATGGTGTAATTCAGCCCCATTCTGAAGGCCTGAGAACCAGGAGGCTGATGTTCGAGAGCAGGTAAAGAAAAAACCAAATTCTTCCGTCCTGGACTTTTTTGTCTGTTCAGCCTCTTAAGGGATTTGATGACACCCACCATCCTTGGTGAGGGCTATCTTCTTTACTCAATCTATGGACTCAGGAGCTAATGAATCTCCCCTGGAAACACCCTCACAGATGCATCCAGAAATAACGTGGTCCCCGTGCTCTGGACATCTGTTCATCCAGTCACGTTGACATGCAGCATTTGCCAGCACCCTGCTTCTAATAGATAAAGGCCAAATCTCAGCTCTGCACAGAGCAGAAGTTTGTATTTCACTCATGCGGCCCGGAAGATCAGTGGGTGGCTCTTCAGGTAGCCATCCAGAGGCCCAGGTGCTCTCCATCTTGTGGCTCTGCCACAAGTAGAAGAAGAGACAAGGAGGACTGTTCATACGAGGTTTGATGAGATAGGCCTGGAAGGGGCACATTTCATCTTCACTCCCAGGCTGCTGTCTAGACCTCAGTTCCCCAGCCATCCCTCACTGCTGGCTTGCAGGGAGAAGAGAACAGAAGAGAGGAGGTGGAGCTGGTCCACTGCTCCGCAGTGGCTGCCACGTGATGCGCACGTGGATTCCTGTGGCTGCTTTCTTTTCGATCACGTTACCTGTGTCCGGTACCATTGCCTCGGGGCCCCTCTGTGATGTGGAGCGCTCGCCCTTCCAGGGATGAATCTGTTTGACGGCGTGGAGAATATTTGTGCAGGGGATGCTTCTGCAGTGTCCACTGCATCCATCCTGAGTCCCAGGCGGGAACTGTGTGGCGAAGGCTACGTTTGGAAAGGCAGAAGTTAACAGTACTGCAAACGAGATCCTTTTCTCTATGGACAGACTCGGGAGAGTGGCCTGAACTCATTGCCATCTCCCTCGTTTGCATGCTGGCACGACTCCTTCCAAATTCACTCATGTCTCTCTGTGCCTCAGTTTCCCCCTCTCTAACATGAGGACAGTAAACATTCACCTCACTGGGTTGTTGGGAAGATTACATCAGTTGACTCACGGAAAGGTTTTAGGCCAGTTTTTGGCACTTACTATGCACTCAGCTGGTGGCTACTTATTATTGTGATTTTGATCTGGTCGAGTTTTATCCTGTGTTGCACAAGCAACGAGAAGACTGCAGGGCTATTTCCCACTTACAGCAAAAGACTACAACTCATGACCACACTGTTTTATTAAGAAGCAGAGTCATGGGAATTTGTGAATGTGGAATGTAATGAGAACCTGGGGCTTGTTTAGACAAAGCATATTTTGTTTGCTTTAAAAAAAAAATTTTTTTTTCAACTGAGATTCAGCATGGCCCTTGTAAATGCCCCAGATGCAATTCTCTTTCCTGGATGTAGAAACTGTGAGCGTTTAATTATAACAGGCTTAAAGGGAGACTTACATTTTGCCCGAGTGGATCTGTGGTTACAACTTTTCCCTGATTCTTCTTTTACTTCCTCAGAGGCTCCCTCCTCCTTGTGGTGAGCTCATTTGGGCAAAGAAGGAGAGTGTATTTTCTTTTAGATAGTTTTAAGGGAATTTTAGACCAGAACTAGAGAGAAGCTATTATGAAAGACTTCAGTCAAACTGAGTAAATTTCCTTAACTGCTCTTTGAATTCTTAATGAAAATCTCTTCCTTAACTCCCTTAACGTTTTCCTAAATCCTTAATGAAAATTAACCCACATTTGCTTAAAAAATAGTCAAAAACCGAACACACACAGAAACCCTACCACCAACTGATGCTGATAAAAGACACAGTCGGGGCTCCTCTGGCCATGTGTGTACAGAGATAAGACTGTCTGAGGGGTGCACTTGAATAAGGCAGCTCTCGAGTGAACCTTCTGGTTGCATCAGTGTAACTGCACACTAGTTGTGCCTTTAGCCCGCCTTCTGCGGTTAAAACAACCGATGGTCAACCCATGTCCTTGTTGGAAACCACAACCCTGAGGCTGTTTAAAATTTGAGTCCCTGTGCTTTCGAATTCATTTTTCATGCTCTATAAAGTATCCAACATAGTGTGTAATGTGTTGAGGGAAAGTCAGCTGGAAAGTTTGGCAGGGGACGGGTGTTTGTGGGTAGCAATGCCCCCCTGCCCCTTATTGAATAGGGCGTTTTTCACTGATGTCCCAACATTTGGCTGAGTTCGTTTGGGATCCTGTAGACTTTTGACTCACTCTTGATTCTTGTTTCCTGGAAAAGCAAAACCCATCACATCTGCTCTTTAACCCCTCAGGTTTAGAGTGACTAAAGTGGAACACAAGTCAAATCAGAAGGAGCGGAGAAGTTTGATGTCAGTTAGTGGGACCGACAGTGTCAATGGAGAGGTGCCTGTGACACCTGTGAAGAGAGACCGAAGTGACACAGAGTAGCAGGTGAGTCGCAGTTTGGGTGACATGGGGGTGGGGTGGGGCACGGTGGGGAGAAGGTGCTGAGAGCCTCCTTGGGTGTGGATGGGAGTGGAGGAATGACTGGGCAGGGAAGCGAGAACTGGTAGGGCTGTAGGGGTCTGAATGTGATTACTCATCTAGAGCTTCTGGTAAAGAGGCCACAAACTTGGGTGCCTCCAGGGGCCTGGCCTGCATGATGATGGAGGAGAGAGGGTTGCTTAAGACACAAGGCGGAATGGTGGGGATTTTGGCAAACTAGAATCCCCCAACCCACCCATCGGGCTTGCGTTACCACAAGGCAGAAGGCCCTTAAGTGTTGCTAGTTCTTATGCAAAAAAAGGTGGAAATCTGAACTCTGGAAATGCGAAATCGCCACAGGTTTTTAAATGTTGGCAGCTTATGAAATGTGCTTTACGAAACCGTGCCGGCCAAATGAAATATAATCTTGTCATTTCTGGGAAAACTGTGATTTGAAAAAGGCTGGAGCATGCAAACCAATGCTTTTTCCTTTAATTGAGCTGGAAACCAGTTTTCTTTGATGTGCCACAGTTCTAGAATAGCCCTGCTAGGAATATTACTCTTCCAACCAAATATTTTGAAGTGATTTAAAAAGCAAAAGCGAATGCTTCTTGGTGGGGCAGTTTTCATTTTGGAAGATAGAGCTTGCAAAAGGAAAGGCTTGTGATAATTTGATATTGGCTTAGCTTTTATCTTGCTCTTTTTTTTCTGTTCTGGCTTGAGGAACATTCTCCCCTTTCATGTTTCTTATTATGTATGAGAGGGCAAGGGTGGGGACTCAGGAGTGATTATGCTCAGAAAGCTCCAGCAGAACTGTCAGAGCCCGAACAGGAAGGCAGAAGAGGTCACGCTTGCAAAAGGGGGGAAGGGTGGGGCCTGGGGAGGTGGACTGGCTGGGTCCTCGAAGGTTCCCGCAAGAGGCAAGGTTGAAGCTGAGCCCTGGAGTCAAGTAGGGTGTGGCTGGTGTGGAGGAGTCCGAGAGGAGTGGCTTTCAAGGGATGATCTGCCCAGGCTCAGAGGGCTTGAGGATGATCTGGAAGAGTTGGTGCTCCCGAATTCTGTAAGACAAAGGGGTTCTGATAGCTTCCCGTGTTAGTTCTTTCAGTCTTGCATCTGGGAAGATCTGGCTCCCTCCCCTGAGATGAGGAGCCAACTAGGGGCTTTCTTTATAAAAGAGAAACAGAACAGAAAAGTCTCTTTGGCTTCTTAGCCAGTTACTGGTGCCTTGGGAAGGGAACGAAGGGAGAGTCAGGAAAAGGAAGAGGAGAATGAAGGCAATTGTAAGAGTAACTGACGGCAATTCAGTATTCTAGTCTTCTGGGCATTGTACTGCTATAAATCTCGCCTGTCACTATTATCAGCATCTCCTGATAAGATGAATACTATTATCCCAGTTTTACAGATGAGAGAACAAATGAGTGGGAAGGGTAAGTTACATGTTAAGGGTCACTTAGCTGAAAAGAGGAGCTGATTTGAACCTAGGTCTCTGACTACAAGACCAGGTACACTCTTCTACCACCTATCCTATAGGATGCTCATGAAGACGTAGCCCTAGACCCATGAATGGAGGGCATTTCCATCAGTGATCTGGAACCTTGGGGTCTAATATGGTAGCCACTAGTCACCTGTGGCTCCTTAAATCTAAATTAATTAACATTAAAAATTTAGTTCTGCAGTTGCACTAGTCCCATTTTGCGTGTTCAGTAGCCAGAGTTGGCTAGGGTCCGCTATATTGGACAGGTGCAGATCCAGAACATTTCCATCATTGCAGAAAGTTTTATCGAACCGAGGAGATGTTCGGGATTAGTAGAAGTTAGGGATTCCAATTTGAATCCTGAGTGACTTTGGTAAATAAGAGGAGCAATCTGATTAAAGTCATGAGGCCTTTAATCCTGAGAAGAGAAACATCTGGCTCTCCAAGTATACAGGGAAAGGCCCAGCCCGCTCAGCTGCCGAGAAAGTTATGGGTTGTGATGACAGTCTGCCTCTGAGTCAGCAGCCCGGCCGTGTGTTGCCGAGTTGGAGCAAACCATGGGTGAGAAGACACTGCTGTTCCTCAGGAAGGACGTGCAGGGTGATCCTCTGTTAGGCTCAGCCCACCAGGTTTTAGCCTCTACTGCTCAGAGAGAGAAGCACTTGAGATTTGAGAAGGTTAAAAGAAGTAGGATTCCTCAGTTGGTTTTCTTCATCCAAATTCTTCTGTATCGGACACTGAGAATTGGATTCAATCTCTGAAATCCTGGCCACAGCTGATTTACAATTTGATATTCTCTGCAAAGCGCACAATCATCCACCAGGATTTTGTAAGAGAACATCATCGCATTTGATCAGAAGACGTGGTCTCACGTGCTAGCTTCAGCACTTGGAAATTGTACTTTACCTGGTTAAGCCCACTTACACCTGGTTTCCTTGAATGTGACATAAGGTTATTAAACTTACTGGTTTAAGGCAAGTGCCAACTGAGTGTGTGGCATGTAGTTGGCTCTCAGAAGAGGGTGACCGTATTGTGCTGTGCCCTCCAAAATCAACAACGAGCTCATGAATGACCTTAGAGAGGGGATGTGTCTTCTGAGCCTTCGATTGTAATTAATTTTGAAATTAAAAATTTTTTTATGGAAATTTTCAAACAAACTCAAAAGTGGAGAGAATGATACCGTGAATGCTCATGGGCATAGAGTAATTGAATTATAATACCTGCTGTGTATTGAGTGTTTACTATATACCCGGCATGCTTTGAAAGGCACATTCCATGTATTGATTTAATTCTTACAACAGCATTGGGTAGGTACTAGTTAGTACCCCATTTTGCAAATGGAGGTGTTAAGCACAGAGAGTGTAAGTAATGTGGGTGTTCAGAGTGACAAGAGGCAAGAGGAAGGATCGAGTTTAGAGCCCACCCCAGGCAGCCTGGCTTCTAGAGTCACAGGCTTGACCACTTATCTGGATCTGGGGAAAGCAGATCCCATGGTCCAGAGCCTGCTGGGGTTGAGACCTGCTGAGTGGCCATGTCTGATGACCCCAACAGAGAACAGACTCTGAAAAAGAAAGGAAAGAAATATTCATGGGCATTTAAAAAACTTATTCATCAAAATTTTTCTTGCTAGGAGTCTTAACATTTTTTATCCCCCCAAAAGAGTATGTTTGGGGTATTTAACATGACTTGATTTTTCCAGCTAGAGAAATCCTGATATTTTTCCATCTGGGCCCCAGATCTCTGGTTCTAGACCGAATCGGAAGATTTGCCCTAGAATATAGCTAATAAAGTAAGACAGGAGTGTTATGCGTCTTTCATACAGTCTAAGATAGTTCTTAGAGTTTTATTTTCTCGTGAAAAATGCTTTTAAATTTGGATTTTTAGTGTAGAATTGATTTAAATAGTCACATGCAAAATCATATCTACTCATTGGCTTGGCTTCTTTCTTTTTTTTAAATTAGAGATTGATGCTGGAAACTAGTCTTAGGATTTCTCTTTCTCTCTCTTTCCTTCTCTTTTTAAAAAACAAAATCTGTTGTTTGGCATTTCTTCTTCCCCTTATTCTTTTCCCCGTTTTGTTGGCCTGTGTTCTTTTTTGTAGTTAGATCTAACTTGCTCTCTGCCTGATTTATTTTGGCAGTGCAGTTAAAATGGTCTCTTTTTTTCACAGAAAATGTGTTTTGATTTCTTCTTAGAAGAATAAGCTTTTGTTCTTTGAAGTTAAATAAATCGAATTGCTTTCAGCCTCCAAATGCCACTGCCTTGTCTTCATGATCACTGGTCTTTCACTTTTTCAAAATGAAGCTGTGGTAAGCATTTGATATCACACGGTTCTGAAGTATGCGCTCCTTTTTTGCATCTTCTGGTAGGATCTCACTGAAACATTGATTTGGGAAGTGTACGTAACAGTATTTTTTACATCAGAACAAATACTCATAATATTAAACATGGCTTTTTATTTTATACTGTTTTATTACAGAAGTGATTCTATTGTTTTTTTTTTTTTAAAGATTTTATTTATTTATTTGTCAGAGAGAGAGAGAGAGAGAGAGAGAGACAGCCCAAGCAGGGAGAGCGGCAGGCAGAGGGAGAAGCGGGCTCCCTCCTGAGCAAGGAGTGCGACGTGGGACTCGATCCCAGGACCCTGGGTTTGTGACCTGAACCGAAGGCAGACGCTTAACTAACTGAGCCACCCAGGCGCCCCGATTCTGTTATTCTTATTTTAGCAATTTATTATAGTGATTAAAAGCTGAGTTTTAAACTGTTTAGGTTTCATTGTAACTGTATCACTCACGACCAGTGGTTTTAGGCAATTTGCCTCACCCCTCTGCGACTGAGGGTCTTCATCTTTACAATGGGGTTGCTGGTGGACTTCAGGGATGTAGCATAGATATTTCGTTCTTCAGTCTGTCCTTGGTACAGAGTTAATATTTACTAAATACGCACGATTATCAATAATTTTCATCCCATCCTCAGTAGTCTTAGTTACGTATTAGCCCATTCATCAAACATCGACTTGAGGTTCTGGGAGTCCCCTTTTATTTCTTAAGAATATTAGAGCTTTGGATTCTTAGGACATTTTAACAATCGATATTTGGCAGGTCCCTTAGGAATTTGGACCATTCTCTCGCCTGTGCTAAGAGGCCTTCGCCATCCATACCCCTTCCCCTCCTACCAGGTCCTCGCCATCCATACCCACTCCCTATACCCCTGGAATTAGAAACAGTAACAAGTCCGTTGGAAAGTTTGCCGGCTTAAGTTCTTTGTGCTGTACAGATCGGGGGGCCGGTTAAATTAAGAGGTAGTGTGGCCTGCGTTTTCTGTGCTAAATCGCGGTGCTGGAGCTCTGTCCTGGCACCAGAGTCTTCTTGTTGCCAAGACTCTTTCATGGGTCCCGCTCCCTCCCTCCTGAGGGTCCTGACCAGTCACAAGGTCAGCTTCCCTGACCTTTGGCACCTTCCTTTCCTCTTCCTTTTTGAACTCCGGTGACTGG